AACTTCTTATAAGATATTTTGTTAAAAGTATCTGTAAAGCTTACAATCTTGCACTATAGTTATTACAAAAATAAAATAATGAATGAACTCTATTAGCTCATTATATTGACTGGAATTCAACCTAGCTATACTTCAATTATAATCAAAAATCTATTTACAACCTTACTAATTTTAAACTTAACCAATCCAAATCATTTAAAATTAAAATACTTCTTAATGAACTACCTACTCAATACCTTTAGGGGAGAAACAGAAATCAGATGATTTCAATTTACTATAGGAACCTTTTCTCCTACCCTCCACCTGATTGATTTATTTTAAAATACATATTCAGAGATTATCAAAAAAATTTACATATTTTGTAAAACTTTAAATAGACTAATCAGAATTTAGAAAATAGGAATATCAAAAATTTATATACAAGTTACTTTTTTTATAACAAAGCTTTTGGGCTAGAAAAAAATCTTCACTGTAGCTTATAACAAGCAATTACTATATATACTTTACTATATCAAACTAAATTTTTATAATATTATTTTTAAAAATTCTTCAACTTGACTAATGCAGAACTTGAAAAATTAACTAATCAGAGTGCCTGTTCATATTAGTTCTTTAGTCATGTATAATTAAACTAAATCAGAATTCTAAATTTGCAAAAGAAGTTCTATATATAAAATTCTTTGATTTATTTTAATATATAGTGGATCTAATAGTTTATACTGAATATGTGCACAATGGTTCTACCAAAAAATCCTGATATCCAAAATCTCAAATTCCATAATCCAGACATTACACAATGTGACAATTAAAATATAAACCCTAACAATGATTGTTAATATGATTACTAATCTTTTAAAGTTAATTGTTACATTACGTGATGTCAGAATTATGGTTTTCGTGATTTTTGATGTCAGGATTTTATGATAAAACCATGTACAATATGCAAAAATAACAAAATTTTTAATCTACAAAATAAAATTTCAGCAAATTTACAATAAAAAATCAACCTCTATAATTTGATCCAGTATAAATCAAAGTTTTTGCTAACCAAATCACTTATAAATATATTAAGAAGAAATCAAAAATAATACTTCAAAGCCTATACTGGCCAAGCATATTAGCTTTTAGCAGTTAATTAGCTAATACTGTAAAAAGCTATCAACTGACTACTTGGTTATGATCTAATCAGTTCATATCACTAAATCTATAATCACTTAGCAAGTCTAATTATAAGAGAGTGCAAACCAAACTTATATGTGTCTTAACTAATAATGTGCTATGTACAATACTATACATACAGTACTGTATGTACTGTATGCTAAATTTTTTGCTGATCACTTTTTCCAGCCAATCAGATGCAGGAAAAGAACTATACGTACTGTATGCTAAAAATTTTTAGATATCATATAAATGGCACATCACTAGTCTTAACTAAGAAAAACATTTAGATCATTAGCCATAATATAGTTAAATAACGAATTTCTACTTGTAACATGAACAGAAAAAAGAGCATGGTTCTGTGAGACTTTAAACATGATAAAAAGGTATAAACCAGTTCTGGTACAGAACTTGACCTAAGGTTAGGTTATACTAGTGTTCAGTTTTTAGAGATTCAACAAGATATAATGCTGTAAATCCAACAATCAACCCTAAGTAAAAGGCGAAAGAGGGCGTGTAAGATTTGGTCCAGGTTTTAGGAATTGTTTAAAGATTGTCTTGATTTACTAAGATAAGTGTTTCTTGTCTTTCTTGGCTTTTGGTTCTAACTGTTTCTGTTGGTTCCTTATATTTTTGATTCTTATCACATGACACATAATTTGGTCTTCTTTATAATTGGTTAGTGATTTTAACAATGGGAATTGTTAAATGATGGGTTTATCTATAAAACTATCTAAGGGTCAATTAATTATTAGTTTTCTTAAATTGATCTAAATCAGATTATTACTATATGGGGTTTAAAAATAATGATGTTTTAATAATGACAAATTTTACACTACCAAACTTCTACTCGAATTTCGAAGTTGGTTCTTAACACTAAACTTTATGCAAGTCTGTTTTAAATGCTGAAAGTTATTTTTATTGAAAGGCAACTTTCGTTACTTATAAAGATAATTATATATATCAGGAACAGAGTTTGTACAATATACAACGTAGAGTATGGTTTATAGGCATCTAAAATGGTATGTCTCTTTTTTATCTGATTAGTTATTATAATCTTGTGACTTCATCTTGTGATTTCTAAATTTTTACCTATAAGCTTTTGTCTATTGACACATGATAAAAAAAAAAATTGCGAATTAGATATTTGTGAACAGATAATTATCCTTTCTAGCTTATTGAATAATATTAATTTCTCTATTTATTATCTTGGCTTTTAACCTTGTCATATATTTATTAAATTATTTTTGATTTTACTCATTTTTGTTTGCTGCTCTGACTAGTGATGTGCAAATTCCAATTTTTTCTCATTTCATGCACATAGAATTTTTTGGAATCTTCATGAGTTTTTAGAATATTCCAGAACCTATTAAAAATTTTCAGCTTATATTATTTGCTAGCATTATATTGCTTTGCTGGCATTATAAAAATCATGCATATTGCCCATCACTATCTTTGACCGTATCATTATATCATAGGAAGCAAAGTGGTTAGTACTGAGACAACTGCATAATTTCATATATTTTTATGAAAGTTAAATACGATGTTTAGTAACTTACATAAATGTTGTTTCAAAAAAAAGAGGTTTAGTCTTAATTCTATTAGATAAATTATAATAATTCTTAAATTAATTAATTAGAATTGTGCTACAGTTAAAACTCTTCAAGTAACTTTTATAAAGACTCAACTTTTATAAAAGACGCTTGGAGAATAATAAAAAATTGCACTTATGAAGATAAAGTATATATTTGAACTAGGATTTAAGAGTGCATTTAGAGAGATTTCATAATTAAAGGCTCATTGCAATAAATATTTAGTTATAATTAAATTTTAATCTAATCTATATACTGTTAGAATATGCTACAGATTTTATCTAAAAAATGATAAATTTCGTCTAACTGTATTCGTTCATTTTAGCTATTCTAAGTTCAATACTTTAAAGGTATGTATTTTTTAAATATACACTTAAGAATTAAACAATTTATTACTTTACTAACCTACTTACTGTTATCGAATTATTGATTCTCTGCTTTTTACACTTATGTTAATTGCAAATTACTGTACAGTGTAGACTAAAGACCCCTTTTATAATGCTCCTCATGATTTTCAGAGGCCTAGAATATAAAGTGCCCCAGATACTAAGGATGGATTAATTGCACTTGTGAATTTAAGATATCTAAGTACTTAACAAATCAATTATAAAATTTGTCAACTAAAATATGATGGGATTAATATAGTGTAAATAATTTATTTTAAATACACTCATTGACAAATGTTTATTATATTTACCAGTTACATAAAATAAATAACAACAAAAGTAAATAATTTATTTTAAAAAACTATATACATGCAAGAATATTACATCTATACCATACTAATACTAATCTATCTGAATGAATATAAAGTCAATCTAAAAAACTTTATTATATTTAACCTACTGCACATATAATCAATTTAAAGTTGCAAATAAAACTTATAAAAGTTAAGCAACCAAAAAACTTATGACAAAGCAGTTTCATCTGCAACTTGATCTAAAAATCTATCTTTCATTCTTGGTTTTGCATGACAACATCATGCAGCTACTTATATGAAATAAACAGATTAAAAGAAATAAAATAAAAACTACTGTATCATTCCTATTAATAAAATACTATCGAATTGTTTGTTTAATGCTAATTTGCTAATAATACTGTTTTAGTCTTTTTTTGTAGATCAGTATTATTTTAAAAATTAGCACAATATCTAAATAATGATAATCGATAAAAACAGGAAAATTGAATAAAACAGAAAAATCAGAAATTAGAAAAATCAAAGTGGTATCACATTTGACTGAGATAGCTCTGAGGCAGATTTGTCACCAGTCTAATTTGGAGCTACTAACCAAAATAAGTAAGCAATTAAAGCTTTATAATTAAGCATGAAAATGAAAATAATAATTTCAAAGAAGGTAAGCTTAGTTCATGCACATGAAAATCAAATGTAAATTCGTAAAATGCTTCTAATTTATGATAATGACAAGATGAAAACTAATGATCAAATATAAAAGAAATTTGAATGAAATACTTCCAAGAAGTAAGATCTTTATTATAAATTTTCTCATTTTGATATACAAAATGAGTGTCGAATAGAAAAAACCTGTAAGTTTATATTAGACTTGGTCTCTAAAAAGTCTGGTTACTCATTTTAGTAAAAATTTATTACATCATATTCTCTTATTTATAAATCAAAGAGTATATACAATTGAAACTTTTATCAAAGCAATAAAATAACATATTTTATCATATGAAGTTATTTTGCTATCAAGCTTTTCAGAGGCTTAATTTGATAAGGCTAATAGAAATAAACTCTCTTATTCAGATGTGCAAAATAGATGAGATAAAAAGATATCGAAAAGTTTTTGTAAATTATAAAAAAAACATAAGATTAAATTATTAATAATTCAATACAAGTTTTTTTTTTTATCTTAAAGTTCTTAAAATCTGTTATCGTTGTGCCATTACTGTTCAAATCATACACAAGTACTTTTATCTTTGTTCTTCAGATTACAAAGTTCCTGTGAATTATTAATGCAGACCTTTTTAAGCATGCCAAAGTTTAATAAAAAACTTATCTACTCTAATCCCGATACCTTGTATGAACATTTCATGAATTCTTTTGCATACTACAAAATAGTTACTAGTATAAATCTGTCATTACCAAAATCAAAATTATTAGAGAAGGGAAATAAAAGGTGGCATGAAATTAAAAATAATGAGCATAATAGTATTCAAAAGGAAATTTAAGATCTTTTATCAACTTCAATACCATTGCAAGCATCATTTGGTTTTGGAAAAAACATAAGCATGAGCAAAACCCCAACACTTTCAAATGAACTAACATTATATCCTTTTACTTTCTTACCATTTTATGAATATGAAATATCTCCCAATGCTGCCCCTCAAAAAGCAGCATATGAAAAAATTAAAGTTGCAAAAGCAAAAATTATTGAATTTAAATCCTTGTTTAATTTAGCTATGGATGTGAGTATTCAACATGATCTTTCTGTTCGAATACAAGAAAACAAAGATGTTATCAATGAATGCTCAAAAAAAGTTGATGCACTTAAACAATATACAAATAATCAAGCCCGGATGGTGGCAAAAAAAAAAAGGCAACTTAGTGAGAAAGGTATTGTTAAGCAATAGGATGGTCCTAGAAGACCATCAATGCTTGCACAAAATTCAGATCTTCTTGAAAATATTCATGATTGTGTTGAATTTAGTGAGGCTGACCAAAAACATAGAAAATCTATAATTAAAGTTAGAACTATTATCCATTTAAAGAAAGCATTTAAGGAAAAATATAAACTTTATATAAGCAAACAAACTTTGTTAACTTATCTTTGGCCAAAGCATTCTAACACTTTTTCAGCAAAGTGGCATCATCATCCTGCAATGGTCCAAATTTGGTCAGTATCACAAAATAAAAAATCTGATCATTCTGATAGCCATTATTGCCTTGCTTCAGTAAAGGGTGCTCGAACTTTTGTTTCATCATTTTCTGATTATTCTATAATCATTTCTCAAGATGATAAAGCAAAAGTTCCCTTGAGGATTTTGGCTGTAGGTCGAACTTTTAAATCAGTTTAATCAATTAATGAACCTGTTTCTATACCTGATCATGATTTCCCTTTGGGAAATAAAATAAAGCTTATACCTTCTGTATATCTTTTAATTAACCCAAAAGATACAAATGATAATTTTCACTTAGGGCATCTTTCAATTTATATTTGGCCTGAATATTTTGTGAGTACGACTGCAGCAACTCATATAGCTAACTTGATTTTAATCATAAATTCTAAAGAATATAATGAATTTATCTATACAGAAGACAAAGTTAAACCATTGTGGATTTTGTTAATGGATGGCAGATCAGACGAAAATCCAAAACATTTAAAAAATATTATTGAATATTGTAAGTTTTTTTGTTTTTTGGATCTTGATTATCTTTCAGTCCATACTCATGCACCAGAACAATCTTCTTACAATCCTGTAGAATGAAGCATGGCTTCCCTTTCATCCAAATTAGCTGGTATTGTGTTACCTATAGATCATTTTGGTGCTCATCTCAACTCACAAGGAAAAGTAATTGATGAAGAATTAGTAATAAAAAATTTTCATTTTTCAGGAGAAAAACTTTGTGATATTTGGTGACATGACAAGATTTATGAAAAACCTGTACAGGTTAAATATTTAGATACACATAATGACATGTTTGCGAATAAAAAAATTTCATGGCAGTGGATTGAAGAATATTGCCAAATTTGTCATTATTCACTTAATATCAAAAAATATTATAATCAAAAATATTGCAAGCCTTTTTAGGCACCAGAAGCAACTGTTTTATTGCAAAAAAATAATAAATTCTTACCTTCTGTTATTCAAGGACATGACCAACATTTTTTAAACCCTATTCATATTCTTAAATACTATGATAAACTTAATATCCTTCTTATGACAAGTATTGTCCCTCAATTTCAGCAGAAATGCATTAATGCTTAAGTTGTTAGAATGTAAAAAGTATTTTCCTACTTTAAAATTTATTCAAAAACATAAACTTCAACCTTCAAATTGTAGGAACCAAAGTTCTATCAAAGATTTTTTCAAAAACACACTTTCTAATTCTGCAATATATAAAGATTTCGTTTAATTACAGGAGTTATATGACGAAATTGTTTTTGAACAAGGCTTTTCTAATAGTAAAATCTTTAAATAACTTTGTATTAATATTTTCACAATATAAATAAAGTTTTTGAATCAAATAAAAAACAACTTATCGAAATAAAACAGCAACTATTTGCCAAATTAATATTGCATAATGATAATAAAATTCATATGACCTTAAAAATTCTATATAAAGACTTGTAAAAATTGGAAAAAATTTAATAATATATTGGTATATTTAGTGCATCCTATTTTACTATTGTCAAATTTAAGTTAGGGACAGATTAAGATTAGGTTTATAGTTGTAAAGGATTTGTAAATAAACTGCTACTGAATATAAAAAAGTATAATTTTTTTTTTTTTTATAATAAATTTATATAATTTATATTAGATATATAACTATAATTTGTTTAGGCACTATTGTTATATACATCGCCAAGTAACTTTAATTAAGAAAAGCCATTTTTGCCAAAGATTTTAAACTCCAAATATGATACTGCTTTAGAATTAAATACTAACAATATTTGAATAAAAGTTAAGAGATGATAAGTATTTGTTATTGTTTTGAGAAACTTGTTAATGAAGTGATGAAACAATTATTATTGTGAAATCAGGTGACTTTAGAAGCAAATCATAGGCATGTAAATGTGTATTTTTTTATGATTTAATGTTTTCATTGTTTCTTGTTAATCCAAGATTAGTACCAAGATAATATATGAATATTTTAAATTTGGTTATCTATGAATTGAAAATAAGTGGTAATTATTAATTAAGGCTAGAGGAATGTTATGAAGTTTCATAGTGGCATAGAGTAAGGAGAGTTAATAATCAGTTTAGAAATGATTATTTAAGGACTGATTCTTAGAAGAGAATTTGTATCTTTCTGTTCACTATTGCTTGCCTGTAGTTAGGGCTGGCTCCGATACCTTCCCTATAGAGATATTAAATTGCGAATCCAGTCTGGTCCAATTCTAGGATCAAAAAAGACAGTTCTGGACTTGATCTTTTAAATCACATATAAATACAATACATTTTATAAGACTTAGATCCTGTATCAGATTCTGAATTGAATCTATCGAATAAGTTCATCTAATCAAATTAATTTTGTATTGTTATAATATTTCAATTCAGGATCCAAGTTCTATAAAATGTATTGTGTTTTCATATAATTTAAGGACTGAATTCTTACTAATCTTGCAGGTCCTTGTAAGGACTAGTTAGAATTCGATCCCAAAAGACTGATTAACATCTCTACCTCTCTACGTATCCAGTTCTAGGAACAAGATATATATATATATATTTATAAGCTTCACAGCTGCAAGCAGTGCAAAAACTTATATTAATAGGCTCTATGACTGCAAGAGCAGTGCAAGGATCTAAAATTCTAATCTGAAAGTTTGAGATTTGTAAAAAGCAGTTAAGTTGCTTTATGGCTTCGTGGCTGCATTAGCAATGCAAGGACCTTATTTCTAGATAATTTAGGCTCTAAGGCTGCAATAAAAGTAAAAAAACTTTACATTTAGACACCATTACATTTCCTAGCCAATTCTCACCATAGCTATATGATTTTCATGAAGAGGAACTCTAATTTATATCTATAATATAGTTATATATAAGTAAATTAATATTAGTATTGTTTTAATATAGTGAACCTAGGGGTGTGGCGACCTAGTGAAGTGGTCAGGTTGTTAACCCCCAAGTGGCAGGTCCAGAGTTCAAATCTCAGTGTTAACAGAAAATTTGAAAATCCTTCCTGTGTTATGGTTAACTGTCTCTCGCAATTGGTTGGGATAAGATACCTGTAACCTGTGT